CGCTTCTGTTTGAGCTCAGGCTTTCGTAGCCATTGGAGTTCACCAGGCTTAAGAACTTGATCTTTTGATAATATGAAAGGGAAAATATTAGAGGATAGCAGGTACAGGCTCCATTTTTGGCTCATGTTTCCTGCTACCTTAATTACTCCTTTAAAATCCTTGTTTGACACATTTATTTTCCTAGCTTTTGAACCTCCCAGAAAGGAGGGTTGCTCGGTATCCTAAACAGCTTGGTCATTTCCAGGAAATCCTGGATGGAGGGCTTGCTGGGTAGACTGGAATTAGCATCACCATATTTTAGATGGTTTGGGGAAGGAATGAGCCTGCAAATTTGGTCAGGAGTGCTGTAAGCGGTCTGTGCTTTCCTGCTTCTGTGGAAGAGAGCTGGCATTTCTGTCCAGGTGCACTCAGAACTGAGAAATGGCAGTGTACGTAAACCCAAAAAGTACTGAGGAAAAGTAGGAAACCAAAACAGAGTCAGCGCAGTTTTATCCTGGGAAAAGTTTTGCGCTGACTCACTCCAGGATGGCTTGCTGCTCCTTGGAAAGGGGTTGTACAAACTGCCGGCCGCGGCTCACACAGACCTGGGCTCAGGCGAGGTTTGGTGTCTCCTGGCTGAATGCACATCAGGCAGATGGATTCTAGTCAAAAAGAGACCAAGTTCTGGCATTGTTCTGGCGCGCATCACACGAGGAACCTGCTGGTGTTGCCATGAGCCAGTCCCCCGGGGGAAGCCTCCCAGTTACACACTGGTCGGGATGGCGAGGGCAGCTGGTGCAGCCGGTCTTTCTGGTTAGTGACACTGTCCTTTGCTGTTTGTCTGCGCATCTCAGTGATGCCAATTCCACAGTTTTCAACCTTTTTAGAAAAAGTATGTTTAATTTGTAAATCACTCAGTTTTTCCCGATATGAGACAGCTTGGTTTATTAACAACTAGCCTTTTGTGAATTGCTTGAAAATTCTGGCCACAGCTCGTATCTGTGTCCAGGGATCTTTTCTAGACAAAGATAGTCTCGAAAATGCTGATTATACCTCTTGCCTGGGCATGTCTTTAGTCATCTGTCTGGGGAAGCCTGTATGTCTAAAAGGACTGATGTCAGGTTTTAAATGCTGTTCTTTATACAGCAGCAATGTAAAATGATGCAGCTGAATGGAGACTGCAGTGCCACTGCGTGTAGGCAGGTTTATTTTCACACGTATCCATGCAGCCTCATTCTTCATGTTATAGAAAACGTACACTCTCTGGCTCGTCTGTAAATCATATTTTTCCCACAGAAACGCCAGCACACACCTGTGAGGCAGAAGGCCAGTGTGGCTCGAGTTATTCCCGGGGGCTCCCCACCTCCCCGGGCCTCCCTTGCTCCCTGAGATGTGCTGCCAGCACAGTGACTAAAGCCCAGCCAGTGGAAAAGAGGAGGAATTTCCCAGCACACGCGGAGCCCCAGGAGTGCCGGCTCCCTGAGCTGCCAAGCTCTCACTGATGCGGCTCCGTGTGGAAATGTGGATGCTGCAGACAAGAGAAGGACTGGCACGCCTCTAGGGCTAAAAAAAAATGGAGCTTCTGGGGTTACTTTTGTTCTGATCCTCGTTTATCTCTCACTGTGTGACTGCTTTTAAAAATTTCCCTGCGTGTAGACTTCTGGGGATAGTGCAGCTTTCTGTGCCACATGAAGTCATTGTGAGGATCGGTTACCGACGGCTGTTAAAGCAAGCTAGCTATTAACGTTACTAAGGGTGGTTTTTTTGTTGTTACATTAAATGTATTTCAGCAGTAATGTAAAATTTTAATTAAATTTCATCCTCTGTGACACCAAGAAAAGCACTGTTATTTTATAAAATGCTCACATCTCTGATTGGTGAAACTTTATCATCATTTTTAAGAAGCTAATCATTCTATACAGCATATGTGTAAAACAAATGGCGGCTTTTTTTTTCCTTTAGATACCTGTAACATTACTATATTATAAAGATGGAAACTCTCAAACAGTCTCCTCTGGAAAGACATGCAACTGTATAAATAATATCTGAAAGGAGACGCATTTGTGCTCTCCTGATAATGGAATAATATGGTGCCTGTGTATATTTTAATCTGACATTCGGTGATTGTACAGCGCAGTGATAGAACAGTCTTCAGATTTCAGAGCCTGGATTCAGCAGTAGATGCAAAATTGTTTTCAGCATGGAGGAGAATTGTAGCGAGGGAAGAGACAAAGCTGTACAGTGTTAGACAGGGGTTTATCTCTCCGATTGCCAGTAGTGTATGTTTTGTAAGTTAGGATATGACTGAATATCGATTTATATGGTTGTTATGGAAATATATGTGTGCGTGTTTGGAATTCAATTTTTTCAAAAGCAAGCTGAGTGTGCACTCCTGTATGTAGTTAGTCATTTTACTATGATGCTTATATCATGAAAGCTCAACAATTGTGTTACAAAAAGCCCCAATATTATGATCATTTGTCTTGTTTTCCCCATGACTGATAAATTCTTGGTGCATCAATACAGCAAAAGCAAGTTTATATACTAAACCAGGAGCCTGTTATATCAGAAAACAAAAACACTGGATAAAAGGAAACTGCTGACATATTCATGAGCACCTACCAGCATTTAGAAAGACACCATCCAATTCAGACCAAAAAATTCTGCGTTGTGTCAACTATGTTATCTCAGGCTGGGGATTTGACTTGTCATATTTGCTTCCCATGTTTCCGTAGTTAGAAAGTCTTTGAAAGAAAACTTTTGTTCTGATTTCTTACTGAGATGAGAATCACATTTCAGTTGTCAGCGAGTGGCTGGGTCTGCAGTTGCTGCAGTAATTTGGGTATTTTTAGTAAGAGACAAAATCTTGTGCCTGTGGTCTAGAAAGTGCTCTATTGCTTTTCCATAGCCTGAATGGAGAAGGCAGAAGAGTCAGCCTACCATGACTGTCCATGCTGCTAAACCGGCATGCAGAAGGCACACCAGGCTTTGGAGGCGCTGGGCATTGCACCCACAGCGACACAGTCGCCGCTTGCTAGGGAGGGAGGAGTACAGGCAGGGGCTGGCACAGAGAGAGGATGACCAGGCTGCAGCAAAGCAGGTGCAGATGGAAGGGAGAATCAATTTTGGTAAATGTGGGATGGGAAGAAAAGCTGAAATTGTGAGCTGAGACTCCGAGGACCTGGGTTCAATATTTGCTTTAGCTTGGCCTCCCTGTGTCATAGCGGGGAAGACAACTTCCATGTTTCTGGCTTTCAGTCACCTGTGGGCACCTGAGAGGCAGCAGTGTATCTGCGTGCAGTACCACATGGATGAGGAGTTACGTGTAGTTGCAAATACAAGTCAAGGTGCCCCTGTCTCTCCTTAAGATAATCATAATATAGAAAACCTTACGGTCTACAAGCTCCCAGCAGGTTAGTGTAGTTCTTTCTTCAGAGGTATTTCCCTGGGAATTTCCCTGGCAGGGTTCGGGCTGGTTCAAGCCTCTACCACCTTTCCCAGAAACTGTCTGTTGCTTTCAAAAAAGAGGTTTGTCTTTCCTGGGCACAAATATTTGCCTTTTACTTTTCATCTGATTTCAGTATATAGCCAACACCTACATACTATATACACCAACCATTCAAGAAATGTGTGTTCTCTGTTGCTAGAGGAATTGCTTTTCTTTCCCCTATTGACATCAATCATAGGAGCAAACATCTTCCTGACCCCGTGCTTGGGTTATGAAGCTGCAAAACCAGCATTGCAAAGAAGCCAGCACCAGCCTAAGCCTGTCTTTACCCAAAAACCTGGAAAGGCAGTCTTCCACCTCTCATTTGCGTTCATACTGAGGGGAGAGAGTGCAAAACTGGAATTACTGCATCTCAGCGAGTACCTGGAATAGCACAAATGAGGATGTGTGTTTCAGAGGGGATCTGGACACCTAAAGCTCCGGTTTGTCTGAGATGTGTTAACCTTTCGTGGTCATACTGAGAGGCAGTTGTACAGGGGATGGGCAATGGTGTGCTGCAAGAACAGCCTATAAGACTTTTTTGTCTGTGTATTTCAAATCTCTGCTTTTATCACGTAAACAGTAAAATTACAAATGCCCTCTCAAAAATCTTTATGCCCAAAATGCTAGCAAAAATTACTTTTTTACCAAAATTATGGTGCATTTTATTCTCAGCCTGGTGTCTGTCTTATTAGCCCAAATTTGCATTTGATGAAACTGCATGCCATGGATTTTGTCACCAATTATCATTCTTTTCAAGGGAGGATGTTTGTGATTTGGGCTGAAATATGCTAATTACTGAAAACCATCGACACGTGAAGAACTCAGTATTTCAGCCTACTCCCCATACCACCAAAAGCAGTGAATGTGAAATAGCACCTGTCAAGCACTTGCAGCAGATACCGTATACGTTCTGCAGTGTCCTATGGAGTGAGAGAGATGTGGGAAATAAAAGTGCTGGCGGATGTGGTGCTATTGCTTGCCTCTGCCGTGTGCACACGGGGCAGCCCAGCAGCGTGGCGGGGCAGGAATTCCTCAGCTGAGTGTGGAAGGCAGCACTGCAGTAAGCTGCTGAGCTCGGTAATGCTTCCCATAGCGAAGGGGAAAAAGTTTGCAAGGGGATTTTTTCATTTCTTTAAAAATCCATACTTGCAAAGCAGCAGCTTACACACAAGAATAACACTGAGGATTATTTTGAAAGTGCTTTAAAAAGATTTCGAGAGAAGGGGACTGCTGATTGTTCAGAGCAACGCAAAGCTGTTGCTGCCTATTCATTTCATTCATCCTAAACACCCAGTCACAGTTTAATTCCTAGATGTACTGTATGCCCTTTCGTATATAATCAGCCTAATTTGTCTTCAGCTGCAAACAAGTGAACCAAGATTCATTTCGTTAAGCAAGCTAAGCAAAAACATTCTTTGCTCACAGATGGGTAAGCCAGCCGATATCTTTAGATAAATGAAGGGAATTTTGTTTTCTTTTCTTAGCTACTGTAAGGACTCCCACGGACAGAAGAATGACAAAACAAATTCTGTCCCTCCGTGCTTTTAATTAGTTAAACATGGAAAGACTAATAGATCTCATCCTGGAATCTGGAATCCTAATTTGCAATATTGGACGTTGTTTTGACTTGAACTGACACTTTTAACAAACAGACTTTTCACTAGAGGTTTTCAGAAAGACCGCATGTAATATTAGATGAGAGGTACTTAATTAATGTAGGAAAGCGCCAACAAACTATCAGCCAGCACTGACTTGTCTTGGATTTGAAATAAAAGGTATTTGCGCTGTGCTGCCTGCCTAGCAATTACCATTAAATGTGTGTGGATTTAGGCCAATTCTTAATGAAAAAGGGGCCAGCTCACAACAAATGTCACCCACTTTGTCTTGGGTTACGCTGATAGTGTGGTGAATGAATCAAACAAGATGCAAACATTAAATCTGGCTGACCCCAGGGCAGCTGGGGGAAGGCAGAGCTCGGCTGTGACCCCCCTTATCCCCGTGCCCTGTCTGAGGGCGCAAGGCAATAGCCAAGTCTGTCCATCACACCTCTCTCCTAGATAGCTAAAGGATTTGCACAACAGCCGCAGTAGCACATCGCATCGTCAAAGGGAGCGTACGCAAAGTGCTGACAGTGGAAACCCTTTTAATCCCAGCGATCGTGCTGAGTAGTAAGCAGGACTTGCTGCTAAGAGAGCTGTGCAACCGTTTTTCAGATGTACCCTTCCTCCTGACTGCACGCGGGTGAAAGCAGACGGGGAAGGGAGAGAAGCGCACCTGCCCAGGCTCTGGCATCTTCTGGGTAGAGGAGCAAGGCTCAGGACATGCAAGTGCCTCCGCCCTGCATCTTGGCGTTGCACACTCACAAGGTCAGAGAAGAAGCGAGCACGAA